AATCACAGTCAATCTCATCACCTCAATGGCATGCTGTGATTGTAATTAATCCTACATTTATTTCAAGAACTTCACACCCTACATATAAAGCAGCAACTCCCTGCTGGCTTTAGACTAGATAATTACGTTGTAACAAGGACTAGGCTCTATTATAACGAAGAGATGAAAAGGAAAACAGACTTGTGAAGCCAGCCTATCTTTTAGAGTATGTCTCACCTGCAAACCAAGAGAAGCAAATACAACATGCTTAGGAATATCTGACTTAGCTTTAATTTAGTCAGTTCCAATAAAGACAGTAGCTTTTACAGAGACTGTATAAATGTCACCATGAATCCTGGTTTTTACTTTAAAGCAAATAGTCCACTCTTGAACTGGCATGTTACACCTACCGTCACCAAACTTGGCAAGATTGCATTTGTCTTAGGATGTGGAGCACATGTACGTGAAGGTGCGACTACAGAGCACCCATACATTAAAGCAGCCTATATACCAGTACAACAAATCAAGTAGCAGACACAGTTCCACAGGACACACTGAGGCAATTTAACAGCTCACCTCTCAACATACAGATCTCCTTAACTGCGCGAATTGAAGCTGCACACAACACAAAATGATTTTATAATTTTTTGCAAGAGAACAGATCATGTATGAGGTGAGATGGTAAGTTAAAAGTAGAAAAAACAGTGATAATGAAAAATATAATGCAAATTACATGGGATCAAACACCTTATTCTCCTGCATTCCTTACACACATAAAACTTTGAGAAGTATACAACTACATAACAGTGCATAAGTGTACTAACCCCTGGAAAACTGCCAGGAACACTGACAGCTTCACCTCCAATTCAGGAACACAAAAAATATACATTCACTGATGCTAAAGTGGTACATGTTGAAACATGTATTTAAACACCAGGTAAAAATATTTTTAATCGGTATGGGCTCAACTGTTACCTGTCCTAGTTTCAGCTGAAAATTATGAAGGGATGCAGAGCAGTATGCACTTAACTGCCTGCACAAGGACTCAGCCTTCCACCTAGCCACTCGTGTTATGGCCAGCAGGCATCACATGGCCGAGCTACCAGAAGGCACATATGTACAACAGTGGACAACAAAAAGCAACGTGAATAGAGACCTGGACAAAGGGGAATACAAAGCACTGGGGAAAGACATCAGGCTACACAAAGGAACCTCAGCACAGCAAGAGTCAGTGGGTAGACTACTCCAACTTCTATAAAGGACACAACTCTTAATAGGCTCACAGACACATAGCTCCCCTCCAGCAGAAGGGGAAAAAGTTCTCTTGCAACAAACCCACACCTAGATTCCCCTGCTCTTAGCAATCTGTATTGCAGCTAGCAAACAAGATAATGGTTTCCTCAAAGCTCCTTCTCCTCTCCCTCATCTCTGCTCAAAGTAAGGTGTGAAAGATGGAGAAAAGCTCAGACTTATAATACAAATTCAGTTATAACTTCACCTTGGAGAGGCCACCATATGTATCACAGTGGTTTGTAGAAGTTCTGACCTAAAGAAAAAAAGCACGCAACCCAGCCAAATTAAATTTAATTTTATTATGGAAATGAAAGTAATAACAGAAGTGACAGCAGGGTGGATGATAAGCTCACTTAGCAGGGGGATCAAATGAAGTGATGACATGTCATTATGACCTCAGGGGTTAAAGATGCAATTTTCCATCTGGCTGCATCTGGCTTTTCAACATAAATGTTGACACCACCTGCCGAGATTTACTACAAGCTGCCTCCATAGGTCTTTTTCTCGCTTCTGTTACCCAGGTTAACATTTACTTTTCCCTCCTCTCTGGTAAGTTTTGCTGAGCAACATGCTCCTTCTTTCTTCAAAACCTAATGAACAGTTTAAAGGACTTCACATGCCACTTCCTTCGTACAGTAAATCAAATTATTAAATAGTAACTTCACAAGCAGCTCAAAGAGAGATACTAGAAACCTAGAAGCAGGTAAAACTAGCTTTAAGATTGCAAACAGGAAGACAAAATTTTAGCTACGCTTGTTAATATCTTGCATTGTCCAAGACTTCTGGGAATCTACTTTTCTCTTGGTAACAGGTACCTGAGTGAAATAATTTTTCTGAAAAAAAAATCCTCAGGATTAAAGAACTAGCTTGTACTCACCATATCAAATTGACTAGTAGCCACCTGCATGTGTTTTATTCAGCAGCTTAATAATTTCCAATTCCAGATACATTGTGTTTAAAATAAATCACCTTTTGCCAGCCCAGTAACACACTCACTTATTCATCTAATTTAGCCACAGCCAAACTATGATCTCAAAACAAATTTGTAATCAAGCTATTGACACACTGTTGGCTGTAAGGGTGTTGTTTCCACATTGATTATTTAAAAGCTAGGACCCACCAGTGTCATCCCTCTCCTGAAGGCTTCATCTGAAATAGGACTACATGGTTACTACCACTTGATAGATCCATTACATTTTTGCCTGTGCCAAACTTGTTTCTAAACCTACAGCTCCCAGACTTTTTTCTGCCAGTACAGGTGAGCTAAAAAGCTTGCTTCTATCTGGTTTTGAAGTGCTCAGATTCTTCCCTAAAAAGAACTTACAGCCTGTTTTAACAGTTTAAACAAAAAGGCCCTGACCGCCAAACAGGGAAAGAGAAGAAGAAAAGAAAAACCCTCCACAGATTTTGAGAGCACCCTGGGACTACAGCTATGAAAAGACAAGAGAAAATGGAGACAAAGAAAGTTAATGAAGCTTGCACAGAGCAAAGAATAGCTAAGAAACAAAACAGGGAAAGTATCCAGACTGATCGGACATTCAAATAACTCCATTGAGGAAGAGGTACCACACCTCTCTCCAGATGCCTTACCTTGGGGAGCTGGGAACCCTTGTCCTCAACAGACAAGTCGCCACCCATTTCTGTATTTGTTAGTGTATTTTCTGAATGACAAGCGAACTTTCCTGTTCCCTTTAATGTAAGGGAAAAAACAAAGCGTTCCTGTTTCACTTCACACATGCTTAACTTCAAGTACATGCTTCACTGCTGAACTGAACAGGAATGACTTAAGCGTATGCTTAAAATGCTGCTTTCCTGATTCAGACCCTATTTTTAGGAACCGTTTCTGCAGTTCCTCCTAATGACAGACAACTATTGTGCCATGTCATTATGACAATAAGATAGCTTAATTGCCCTCTTTCCAGAAGCTGTCAGTTCTGCCTAACTAGTACATAATGTATGCGTCTGGGAGTAAATGTGTTAATATATCAGTCACTTATATCTACCATACATTTTCCTCTGCTGTATTTAAAGAAAGCCTTGGTTTTTATGACTGACTTGCTAGACATTATATTCACTGATATGGGCAGCAGTGATACCAGTGTCTAATGACTCATTTCTTTGTGAAAGATGCATGAAATAACTTTCTCCTTCTTCATTTACTGCACTTTTTAAACTCAACTTCAACCTGAACATGGATTTCCCCATACTTGCATTTAAGGTGTTGCCAAAAAAGGCCTCCTTAAAAATAACAGTGTAAAATAAACTGGCTATTCCTGTAACTAATCAGGATTGACGAATCAAAACATTTGGAAACACCTGTAGTTGCTTTAGTGTATTTTGTGCATTGTTACCTATAGGAACAGTCATTGAAAGCATACAGAGAAGAATTAAAATTAACAGTATCTACAACATGGAATAAGCAGCTGTGAACTGGAGGCCTTTAATTCTCTGAGAAGTACTGGTTAGGTCACACCTAAACATACAGCCTATGCAAGCTAGCTGAATTCTCTTTCATATTCCTCTTTCTGATCATGATTATTACCAAATTCCCTCTGTATCTTCTCACTGTTTCTTGGGTCTTGTGCACTTCAGAAGTTATTTTTTCTCCCACAGTCTCTTACTAAATTGTGAAATGGAATGCAAAGACTATATTTAACCACTGTTTTGAGAGTTTATAATGTTGTTGTATTAACAAATATGACAATAGCATTTTTTGGTGTTTATATTAGTAATGCCTTCCTTTTCAGAGAAATATTACTTGCAACTTATACACGTACTTTTGTGGGTCTTCAGAGAAGGTAGTGAAGAAATAAAAAGGGAGAAAAAACAAAAGCTGTGTGAAACATAGAATAAATCCGACAAGCACAATATAAAGCTTAGTAAGATTTGGACATACAGGTTTCTTTGTTCATTTAATCCATTTCTCATTGTTTTCCTACCAATACTTTTGCTTTTAAAGCATTAAAGCATGCTGGTACTTCTAACCAGTCTGGTTGCAAAGTTCTCAAGACTCTGGAAATAAGTAAAGCCACCGTGACCCCACTGAAAGAACACAGGTGAGACACAGAAGTGCTGAAGTGTAGCGACTTTGTCTGGAAGTGGCAGGGTCACTGTTTCCTCTTAAGGGAAATGGAAGCCAAAGCATACTGCCAAGGAGAGTGAGCTGGCAAGCAACTACAGGGGCAGGAATACACAGTGCAGAAAGATCTGTGACACTTATTCCAGTGCTAATAATCAATTGGTACAACTGCTACAGTCCATAAATCAACTCCTTCACACAGATGTAAATGGCTCGCATGTGCATCTGACCAGAATTGGAAGTTGTCAATTCTATTGGAAATTATAAATTCAATCCTGAACTAGGAGTTTTCCAGCCTTTTTCCTAATGTGACGTAAGTGCTACATAACCATTTTTCTTTCTAAGAGAGATCACAATGGAAGGAAAAATCCCCAGAAGCTGTTTTTCCCCCTAATCCATTAATATATTAATGAAATATTACATTTTTATTTAAAATGCAATTGCTCATTCCCTTCTCCAGTGATGTCACTGCATAAAAAAATCCACTGAATATCTTCTCTTATGTAGTGCAGAATAGCTGGATAGCCAAGGTTACTAAATGAAAGAGTGATCACATTTTCCTTTTTAGCATGTCTTCTGATTTTACTGATACTTGTTCAGAGACGAAGTATACTAAAAACATTTCCCACATCAATAACTACTTAAGAACTTACTTAGTTTTTTGAATCCAGATGCAGTAGTCTGTAATGAAGAGATCATTCAGGATGTAGGCAGGGTCATTCTCCATAAAAATCTTGTGAATGTCCAGCAGACACTTCAAAACTGCAGCTTTTCCTGGAAACAGATGTTTATTTTTGTAATTCACTAGGAATCATAATAGGTGATCTTCACCATCTTCTCACCTTTGAAGCTTTAATAACCATATAAAAACAAAACAAAAAACCCAAGCTAAAAAGTAACTTGCAGGTAAGGAAGTTATGCCCCATCATTTACCTGAAGGAAGATAAAACCTGGTTCCCTGTATGCATACACAAATACCTATGTTGGAGAATAAAAGGGTTGAGAACACACAGCCCACAGCAGGGTGAAGCATGCAGGAGCCACAGCAATTGTGTAAGGCAGTGGAAGCAATACTATCACCTAACATCTAACCATTGCCTTAAATTAAGCAGAACTTTTCCTACTTCTGCTAGTTACAGAATAATTTGGCAAATTGAGCCCCCAGAAAGAAAAACTCACTTCAAGTTCAAGAAGGTGCCATTTAACATACAGTTGATAAATGCAGTAAGAGAGTAAAAACTTGAATGTTTTCTTGTGACACAACCAGAAATTTCTGTAGTCAGTTTAATTTTCTTCACATGCAACCATTGTTCATGAAGAAGAGAACAGGTTAATGTAACCTCCAAACAGCTGGAATCTCCTCCCTTAGTTTTCTGATGCAAGTTACTAAAGGGTTAAGTGCTGGAACACTAAAAAAACTAAAAAAATTCACTGTTTAATGGGGGGGGTGGTGAACCAAAAACACTCAAATAAAAACAGCCACTACTGCAAATGAAATCTAATAACACTCTCCCAAGAGGCTGGCTTCTCCTAGGCTATGAAACCTGAACATGGATGAAATTACATTTTACAGATTAAAAAAAAAAAAAAAAGATCAGAACTCCCCCTGCTGTTCAAGCACAAAATTTGTTTGTCTGTTTTTAAGTAACTGCTGAAAAAATAGAGAATTAAAGTTAAAAGATGCGGAAGATGGCAATAAGGAGCAAGAACCTTGAGAGTAAAAAGCCACGGCAAACAGAACTGAAAAACCTGCTGGTTGGGAAAAGTCAGGAAAGAAAACATAAAATCCCAAAAATAACTGAAGAGCTTTTAGATCACCATCAATATTTGTCAAGCAAAGACTGGTGAAAAAGAAGTGACATGTGGAATTACAATTTTGATAATTTTTTAAGGTTCTAGCTGTCAAGCTGCCAGCCTGAACCATTTACAACATCCACTACTGTTATTCATCTGCCAAGTAACAATGTAAATTAGTGACTGTAACACTAATTCTCAATAAAAAAAGTATTTCTTCATAAATTAAGGTAAATTAATTATAGTAGCTTAACGGGCCTCATATCAGAAAGGATGCAAATCTAGCCAGACTTAATAAAATAGTGAACACAACATACACACACGGATCTTGGCAAACTATCAAACTTCTGCTTTCAGAATATGTGTCTTATACATGCATCTCACAAACAGGAAGTCCTTACACACAACTGCATTTAACTCCTTACCACAAGAATTAAAAATAAGAGCGAAAGACCAAACATGATTTAAGCCTTAATATACTTAATATGCATTATACTGAATAAATACACTGCTTTTTATGTACAGATAGGGATTATTCAAAAAAACTACTAGTTATCTTTAAAAGAACAAACTTCTGCAATAGAATCCAAAATATTTCATTTTCTAAGATATTTAAATTTAAGACGTAGAACTGAAAGGTAGATGACTTAAGACAGGCTCTAATATCCTCTATTTTTTGGTGTGAAGATCTGTGTTAGAGGTAAAAGAGTATAACAACCAACCTGAAATTGGGATATATTGCAAGACAGGGTATCAAACTGAAGTATAACCCATTGTTTTTTGTGAGACAAAAGCAGTTTTCTTTTCCTGCCATTAAAAATCATTACACTGCTGTTGGGGAGAGGATGAGTTGCAATTTCAGAGGAAAAGCAGTAGAGAGGCTGAGCAGACAAGGCAAAAATCATAAAAGTTACAGCATATGTCTGCAGATCAGTGGATTCTTCTGGAGTTCATTGCTATGGCAGCTGGCAGATGACAGCCCACAACTTTAATTCTACAGTTTCAGAAATCCAGTCCTCTTTCTACAGATGAGTTCAAAAAAGGATACAATTTGACGCCCGCTCTGTTTCTGCCATTTGATATAACAACCTACTGACTTTACACCATCAGGAAACTCTACCAGCTTTCATACTGACTATTTGGAAGCAAAGGAAATTAATAGTCCTATCACTCTATTTTACATTATTTTTACTGCAGACTTCTATATGTTTTTGCACATTTTCAAGAAGAAGGAGCATTCACCTAAAAAGATAAACTGAACTTTACCGTCTCATTAAAAAGTGAGAACAGCAGCATTCTTAAAAACAAGAAAATAACTCTGACAGACTTTTAAATGAAAATGTCCTGGTAATAACTTACCCAGCTAGGCAATAGTACTATTTGTTTTTAATGGGCAATTATATACTCTTAGTGTTAACTTCTGTATGGAAAGAAGCAAAGCATATTTTATTCACAGAAAAGAGCACAAATGAGTTTTCTCTTATTAGCTCATAGATGATAACTTCCAGATCAGTATCACACAATGGTAACACAGTGTCAGTAAATAACTGACAGAACCAGCCCATACCACTACTAAAAAGAAAAAGGACTCCATATATTTACATATAAAACACACCTGATAAATTTTTGTTAGTCGGCTGTCAAATGCAGTATATACACTTAGTTGGAAATAACTTTGTAGCTGCATGTACCACTGCATTTTATTCCCTTTTTTTAATCCTATCCAAAGAACAGACAAATACCGTAGACATCCTAGATAACTACGCTGAACTTTGAACAGTTTTGCTGAAGTATTTTAAGTATTATAGATCACTAAAACAGCATATGAAAAAGCGTGCTGAGGACCTCAACATTAATCAGCTTAATGCATTCATCTTACAATTAAAACTTTGGCTGGAAGTCTTAATTAAAAATAAAAGTGTTTCAACCACAGACAAGGATCCTTAATAGCTTAAAAATGCAGTGTCCTGTACCTTGGAAGTGATCCACCAACATAGCACTCACATTTTTAAAATCAAGTCACATAACTTGAGGCATAACAATTCAGTCCCATCAGAATTCTTTACTCTTTTTAAATAAATCAGTTTACTGTGCTTACTATTATTATTATCGAAACATCGTATTATACTATGTCCCAACTTCTGTTACCAGCATCCTGAAAGAAGGATGAGGTCAACTCAAACTGATTCTTCCTTTAAGTTAAACACCAGTCCTTTTGAATCTGCATGAAAATTAAAAGTTTTGCAGTACTTTAACCAAATTCATTATCTGTCACTTGACAGTCATTTTTACGTACATTCATCACCACATACACAGTGCCAAACTGGTGAGGCATAATTTCCGTAAACAGAGTGTAACAGAGTACTTAATGCTATCTATAACTACTATGCTTTGCCCATTGCATAGTTTGCTAAGTATTTTGTGAAACTAGAAGTTCCTCAAAAGCATGGCTCAACCTTCACTGAAGTTTGAAAGAGGAAACATTTTGACTGAATAAATGTGCCTCGGCAGTAGAAGCATTACCTACACATCCATACACAGACACACTTCTTTGCCCCTCTCTGATTATAGCCAGGTAATACATCCATTTTGTAAGTTTCCCATTTCTTTGGTAGTTGACTATTAAAAAAAAAACAGTGCTTTTCACACTTATGCACACATCATAATAGTAAATACTAATTTGATACACAAACCCCAGAACTCTCAGAAGTTAATACTAATCACCATTACTTTTATCAGTTCACTGCTAACTTACTAATGCCCCTCCCAACAGATTTATGTCCACATAAAGGAAATCATCCATTTGTGTCTGCTTCCCAGGCAGTACCTGGAGATCGTCACAGCTCATACTCAAGATAGTGTCCTCTTCTCTACTATTAACAACTCCAGTCAAAATGGGAACACGTTCTCCTCTCTTGAGGTTTGCACATGCCTTTTCAGTGTCTTGAAGATCCATGGCCAGCTCTGCAGAGAGAGCCGGTTGCCCCATCCACACTGTTTCCCAGGCAACCAGCACAGCACAGACATGCGAGGATGAAGCCAGACCTGCTGCCTTTCTTAACTTCTTCCAGTGCTTCTAAACCATTCTAACCATCAACTAAATAAATCTGAATTTCTGTTAAAGCTTATGGCAGTAATTTTTATGCAAATCACTCAGATCAGAAAAAACAAAGCTAGCCTGTCTCCCATCCCAGTAGCAATGAGTTAGCACACCCAAACTACTCCTCCAGGGAAGGTGCGGACTTGGCTGTTGGAGCAAGACCATGATGGGTGATAAAGGGAGACCATGACAATAAGCACTACTGGGGCCACTATGTTTTGGAAGCAGAGGGTAAGGAGACAACAGCAGCCGCGTGTCCAGTGGAGGAGGATGGAGTCAGATACATGACACAGTTATTGCAGATCCCACCTCCCTTATCCAACTACTGAAAGTATTTTGTTGGATCACTGAATGTTCACTTCAATAACATTTTCCATCATAACATTAAAAGAAAAGCATATAGCCTACTTCTCATGTACTATCCCCTTATGAAAAAAATCTAAAAGGCTGGCATCGCTGCATGATTTCAGTTTTGTTATCAGAATTTTATTTTTTCACATTTATGAACAGCAGCATCAGCCAGTAGAGTTCAGTGAAGAGGGACAGCCTACATCTTCCCGTAAAAACTTCACTAGCCAACTGTTACAATGTAAATGGCATTTTAAATCACCACTAGTTTTTGGTAGTAGTAGAGATTAATACTGCCATTTGAGGGGTTTTTTTAATCCTGCAACTCATAAGCATTGAAAATAAACCAAAGTGACTCTTCTGCCCCCACCCCCCGAGTCTAACACCAAATCATTTTTTTGAAAATAGTAACTCACAATAAACAGAAAAGTTGCAAGTAACTTTAACAACCCAAGATATAAACACGGTTGTGTACAACTGCACAACTGAAGCTGGAATAACCATAGGTTTGAAAATTCATACTGTTACATGAAAGCTGTCTGGCATAAACAGGGAGTATATAAAAAGCATGTCACTGCTGAAAGAATAATTTGCAGTCATTAAGATGACAGCTCCACTCCTGAATGTGAAACAAAACAAAGCTACAAATATGTAGTGTGTAGTCAGTTTTTTATTCTTCAGTTTTAAGTATTTTTTTAATTATTATTTATTTTTCAACAGAATAGTTTTCATAGTATTCACTGCTTGTTTTCTATGAACAGTTCTACTTAGCTGTTATTTAGAACTGTCTTATTTTCCTAATAACAAGCAGAGTACTAAGATAACATCCGCAAGTCAGATTTTGGCTGGGTAAGCTTCCTTTCTGTCAAAATCCAAACATCACTGACAACAGTTAAATTAAAACAACAGTTCTTCCAAACAGTAAGTCATGCAAGGAACCTGCAAAACCATGATGAGCAGAACAGAACAGTTGGAACAACTGAAGACGACGATGCTTTAAAAACCTCCCTTAGATGGAGACAAATCATGGAAGTTATCAGAAATCCATCCAATCTTTTTTAACAGGATTTCAGTCAGGTAATTAAAGAACACAAAGAACAACAGAAAACAACAGGACTGCTGCTGTTCTTGTAAGAGTGACCCTGCTCTGAAATAAAAACTTAGACAGCTTTAGAACAGAGTCTAAAAAAATTATAGTATCTAACCTACCATAACAAAAGCTTCATAGACGTGTTCTTTTCCAACAGAAAAATCTCTTTACAGACAGATACAGTATAGAGAGCTTTACAAATCACAGTTGGACAACCCTGATTTATCAAGATACAAGATGCGATCAGAGATTTTTCCGAGGATGAGACATTACTAACATTTCTTCTGTGTAGGTTTTCTGGTGTAATACAGCTGAATTTACACCACAACTGCATGTATTATCTGCTGGCTAATAAATGAGTTACTTCAGGGGCTTTTTCCTGGTAAGGACATTAATTTTGTTCTCTTCTCTCCCCAGCCCCATTTTCATAAAACCACAAGATGTCCAGAAATGTCAACATCTATCAAGTTTGTGTGAAACTGGCCAAAGGATTCAAAAGTTATTAAAAAAAAACCAGACATACAAACAATGTTGCTATATATGAATCACTTCCCATCCCTAAAAAACTTACCTAGTTGCAGTATCATGACTGTATCCTCAAAGGCACGTGTCACTAATCCAAAATGTCTGTGTAGAGGATAGCATAGCACTCTTCTTCCAAAAGATACAAGGACATCATGAATGCTGCTGAAACTCTGTGTATATCAGTGAAAAATATGAATTAGTCTGTGTGCTTTGATACAAAGAATTAGTTTTTGTTTGTTTGTTTTCCTTTAAGGGAAAAAGTCATAGGAGAAAAGAAAAGAGCACATTTTTAGATATTATGCATCTAAAAATCTGTGTTTTAATAGATATGGAGATCAACATGTTAAATAGAAACAAGACACTGCACATTTAGTTTGCATGGCAGGATAACAGACGTCCTCTATGTTTTAGAGGTTTTGAATTAAAAAAAGAATGCAGGGAAAATTAGAATAAAACATCTAACTCAAGATTCTGCCATTCTTTAGATTAACGCAATAAATTACATCTGTCCCACATTATTATATATATTAAGGGGAAGCTATAAAAAGCCTTTTAAGAATAAAGAAAAATTAAAACCACATGATATTAACAAAATACATGTGTACATATAAGATCTTTAAAAATGATACATGGCTCTGCCTTTCATTGAAATGATAGATATCCAAGACAGGGATAAATATATCTGCCTAGGGAAAGCAGTTCATTGTCCTCCTTTACGAGTGAGGAAGACCTCTAATTTACTCAGGCCAGAGGCATTAATGAGTTATTAAAGACTTTCTTAGAGTGATTTCCTTTCCAGCTTTCACTTTTCAAGACAAAATATTCCATTTATTAATTCAAATAAAAATACCTATTTGATCTTGAACTCTCAATTTATTAAAATTAATAAAAATGTTTTGCTGATGGCCAGCACTTTTTTGCATTATATGACTACCTCAACCCACTGTTCATGGCAATGAATTGCTGGTAAGCATTTAAATCATTCTTGTTATTTAATATTTAGAGTCTAAGGTGTGTACATGTCATGCACAGCAAAATGGCAGTCAGTTCAAACAAACCATAGCTGAGGCAATTTTGTTTACAGATTGATGAAAACACCCGCCTCTACATGGTTTGTGTAACAGATATAGTTATTAACAGCTTGGTGCCAGGAGACTGAATTTTCTGGGTGTGAAATATACTGTTGGCACAGGCTGCGCCAAGAACTGCTATATTACAGGATAAGCACACACAGAAAACTCCTTCACTTCGTTAGAATATGGATCTGAAAAAAAAGTCAAGAATTAAGACAATCACTGCATTTTAATTGCACTTCTTTGTCATTTGCTACTGCAGAACATTGAGTTTGAAATAAGTTAAAACTCACAGATCTAGAAAACCAGTTGCCATAGAACAAATTATTACTGAATATAACATTCGCCACTACTAGAAACATTTGAAGGAGTGAACCCAAAAATCCTGTCAAATTTCATTCTTGATCGTGCACACTGAGACTTGGCTCAGTAACTTTAGGCATGAAAATGGGACAATACTTTCTAGCTTGCTGCCATCATAAGAAAAATGGATTACAGAACAGGTTAAGTCCCTTCCACTTCCAGCTCTGTAACAACTTAATTACACAGGCCTGGGTGCTTTCAGTAAACAATGTGAAAGTGTGAAGAATAGAATTCAGTTTGTTTCCTCTACTCTATGCTGGTTTCAAAGGGTTTACAGCAACTAAACAAACAGGGATGTTGCAGTAACACTGAAAAGAAGAGGGCAGGTAAAGCAACACATCCACTAACTTTGCAAGAAATCTGAAACAGAAGTATTCCGCACATCTGAAAGATCACACAGTCATTAAAGCCTTAATGAGACAACAGTTCTACAATTACAGAACTGAGGTCTTTTTGCTACAAGAATATGGAATTCAAGCATCTCTGTGATAGGTGAAAAAAAAACAAATCACCTTTTGATTGAGTTCTAAGAGCTTTTTCCATCACTGTGTTTGCATTTACTTCTGGGCTTCCCAGTTCCACTCTCCAATATACTCTGAAGCCACACACCAGAGTGGAGAAGCCAGAAGCCACCTGATTTGCAGCCAAGAAAAAGAACAACATAGAAGTGCAGAATGATGAACTAGGAAAGTTAAGGAAAGGCTCAGCAGTCAAAACCCCCAGAAGTGAACAATAAACTGCTTTATTAAGGCCTGCCATCTTCTAAAGTCATTAAAATATTTATCTGAGGTAGGACTTAAAGCACACAAGAACACTAAGAAATTACATTCCCTGCTTTTTATGCCCTTTCTATTTTAACATGCTTTAGCCAGTTAAACAGGAAGATATCCAAGATCAAGGAGCCAGAAGGCTACATTTTCTTGCTCTAAGCATGGAGCTGCACACATACCGTGGACATACGTGAGGAGTAATTACAGTTACTTCCTAAATAAAGGTTAGAACTTGTGAATCAAGCCCAGGAGCTAGAGACAGTGTGTAGACAAGCAGCTTTTTCATAGTGCCTATTAGCCTTTCCAGAATGGGCCAGAAGAATGCCCAGCACCCAGACAGACGAGAGGTCATGCTCCAGCCTCTCGAGGCTACTTGTAGCTGGGAGCCCAGAAATCACAATCAATTTCTTGTAATATTTATTGAAAAGAGGATATTCACTTAATTCACCTTCAATACTGAAAGAGTAAGCTTTCCACAAACAATACCAAAACCAAATAATACAGCAAATACATAATACAAAACTTAAGTTTTAACTTGCCTCCAGCCAGCACAATGTTGCACTCAGTTTCCTGACATTCCAAGATGATTCAACCTGGTTTCAAGGGGAGACCGTAAAACAAGTATTATCTAATTCAACATTCAAGACTGCTGGCAAACTATTTAAGATAACATTCTGGCAGCAATTTAAGAACCTTTGTGAATATGAAGCAGTAATTATATTATGTGCATTGAAATGGCCACAGGACAGCACTAGAAATTATATTGTAATGCAGATGTTAAGTAACCGAATTGGTTTATGTATTGGGAATATCTAGCCCATGCACAAAGCCTTTAAAATACAACAGCAATCACAGAAAATTATATTTTAGAGGAGTTCTGTCCCTTTTCACCGAGCAACAGAAACTTGAATCTGCCTAGCGACCAACAAAGCTCAAGCTGAAATGTCTTGTTTCACGAAAACAGCTCAAGAGTTTTGGCTTTCAGAGAGGGTCCCAAAGCCAGCAGTATATGTAAAATGTCATTACTCTTTAAATGTGACAGATTCATAGTATTTGTGTGGTAGTGTGGTCTAGAGGGATGATTAGGGCAAAAAGCCAGGAAGCCTTGATTTCTACTCCTGGCTCTAGTAAAGATTTGTGTGGCCTGAATGTCTCAAGGTTTCCTACTAAAAAGGGAAAAAAAACAAACCAGTGTGTTTTCTACATATACCATACAGCTATTGTACAGATCAATAAAGATTTGCACAATTGTTTTCCTCACATATTTGCAATTTTGGGCAACTCTAACACACAATACAACAACCATCCTAGATTATTCTGTTGAATAAACACGTCTGGACATTTCTGTCTGCTATTCTAAAATCCATGCCCTGCAATTCAGTCTGATTAAGCCAGAATGGTTTTGATTATATGTTCCAATACTTTGATTAAAAGCATTGAAAAAACATCTCCCTGGTTAGTATCAGCAGAGGAGATGTTAGGCACAAAGTTGTATCTGGGAAGCAACTCCATTTCAAAAACGTTAAGCTTCCCACAGAACAGCATGGAATCCATTCTGAACTTCTGCTATTTTCATAACTCCTTATATCCTGTAAAAAGCCCAGGATACAGAACATGAAATAAGGCTGGCTGCTGCTGGTGTAAGAGATAGGCAAACACCAGAATCCTGAAAATGGAACCACGCCTTCCTACTTCCCTTCAGTGTTTGAATACTAGAAAAGGAAAACTCTGCATTAGGATTTATTTTTTAAATGTGTGTCAGTTTTAAAATTTTAAATGCTTCATAATACACCTTCCATACTCAGTGTATAAGCTTAAAAACAAACAAACAAAAAACAAGAACAAAAAAACCCAAATCAGTTATGTTAAAAGTATATATTGGTAGTTTGTATAAAACAGTAAACACACAGTTTCAGTCCTACAGTCACAATGATTTCCCATGGTTTTTCAGAAACCAAATGAGCAGTGGTATTATTACAGACACATTCCTATTATGGAACTGCCCAAAAAAACCATAAGGAAGAACCATCAATATAAAACAACTATTTTGTTAAATCTGCATTTACAATAACCAAGTCACATCACACCACAAAACAAATCAGAAACAAATGAAATTGTCTGGAGTCTCTGGCATCTGCTCTTCTCTCCTCCAGCTAAAATGCTGCTCCAGAAGAACAGAAGTATTTAGAAATCATATCAATCCTTAAATGTATACCAACAGCTCGATCTAGAGATAGAAAGTCTTTCATTCTAACTTACTCAATTATATATTTTTAATGCTTGGAAGTAAATACACTTTAAAAGGTAGATTTCCTAAATGACAGTACAAGTTCCAGCACTAGGTTCCTAAAACATACTGACTTTTTTTTTTTTTTACTTACATTCTTGTCTCCTTCATTGACACAGACTTCATAGCAATATGCCAGAAGGATATCAATTAAACCAAGATACACACGATGACGGCTTCTTTTATCCAGAAGATAAGATTTATTTGTGAACTTTCTCAGCTGCGCTTTCTCTTCCTCAGAGAAGACAACTATAAAAAGTAAAAGGATAATTGATAATGAGTTTAAAGCTGGCACATTCATTTTAATAGGCAGTAATACTCCTTTGACAGTCTCTTTAAAAAGAAGCATGTTACTAATCACAAGTCTCTCATCACTCAAGAAAAAGCCTAAATCGTTCTTACTTTCATTTTTAACTTTTGTCAAACTCTGATTCAGTCTTTTGAAAGTCAAGTTCCAACCCTGCAAAGTACTGCACGTACACACCGCCAATTTTGAACCCCTCTGAAAGTGTCAAGGATTTCAATTGACTATTGAATGGTAACCCTTCTGAAGAGTACTTAAAACACTTCAGAAAGGATGGCAGAATTGCCTTGAAATAACAGTAGAGATTAAGTAGATAACTGACTAGAAGCCATCTCTGTACAAACTCCAAGTAAATCAAGAAGCCATTTAGTACAATTAAAACAGCCAGAAGCCAGAGCCAAGAGATTTCCATCCAGGCTGCACAGAACACTGGCATTCCACACCAACAGGCTCTGATTTACTGAGTAGGATAGATGTAGTGAGCACATTTTGGTCACACCGCTGGAGAAAGTTACAGGCATAAGGTGACTTGACAGCAGAAAGCAGCTGACAGCTGATGCTTTGTTGCACTGAGGCAGTCCCACTCCAGTAACACTGGAACCAGCCTGAGTTTAAAATACCACTCATTGAAGGAGATTTCTCAGAGGACAGGAACTAATACAGCACTCATTACACTTTCAAAATAAACCCTAAATGCTACAGGTAGATACATGATGTACCCCCTAACTCGCTGAATTTTAATTATTTATTCTAGGGGCAAGAGGGGGACCAAACCCTTACAATTAATATTGAAATCTCCAATTATTCTTTTACCACCACTTTTTTGAGTCACTGTGTTCTGGCATAATTAGCTGGGGGCAGAGAAAAGCTGCAGGAGAGATGCACAAACTTAAAAATGTAAAACAATTAATGGTTAGAATCCTAGAATCACAGAACGGTTTGGGTTGGAAGGGACCTTAAAGACCCCCTAGTTCCAATCCCCCAGCCATGGGCAGGGACACCTCCCACTAGATCAGGTTGCTCAAAGCCTCATCCAACCTGGCCTTGAAACACACTGAGATGAGGATGTGATACTGACCAAGCATTAACATGTTCATCACCCCTGATAAAGCACCTGAAGAGTCCTTGCTATCCAGGCAGGCAGCTGGGAAGGGTCAGCATTTGTGGATCCCCAAGACAGATCCTCAAATATTGCTGAGCTGCCATCTTCCACTGGCTTCATCAATTTGACCTGATAACTCAGCAGTTTTTGCCCCAACTTGATTCCCTGTTTTTCCAGTTTAGGATTTTAAATTTTCCATGTTGGTATTTACCTCTGGAATCCTTGAGCTGATAATGATCCTGCCTCAAAAATCCTACCTGCAATTTTACCATTCTTATTTTTCTACAGACTTTCTCACACGTCTTTCTCATTGCATGAGCCAAGGTTATACAGCTGGGCATAACCCATAATCCTGAGCCCTGGAACCTTGGGACACAGGCAGCTAAATCCCCTGGGTGAGCTTACAGCACAAGGTTACAGCAAGAAAAGGGTACAATTCCTAGTAAACCAAGTTCCTTTTTACACCCCATGCCCATTTCTCTATCATAAGGACGATGATTGCAAATGTGCTTATACATGTTCTCCTCAAACACTGCTCATCATCACTTCACACAATCCACACTCTCAGGGATACAATCCATCTATAAGACATGTGGTCTTCTTTATCCCAGGAGCTTTCTAAAAGCTTTCTAATTTTATGACATGTTTTGAAACAAATCTTTGTGATGCCAAAGGCACGTACATATGCACACATCTCATCTCGAGACATAAAATTACGAATTAGGAGAAACATTTTTGAATGTCTCTTCTTTATGAACTTTTTTAATGTTTCTATCAGCTTCACAACCACGAAATATTTGATTTTAATTCCCATGGAAACTTCTTGATGAGCTAAACATTTCTCTGGATTCAAGCCAGTCTCCATTTATTTACAACCTCCCACTAAAGAAATTCCAGCTTTTATATCATGTTGAGAAAGCCAATCTCTTACACTTGCTATGATCTAGTACAAAGTGACAATTTAGCAAGACTGTGTCAGTTCTAACTCTGTTTTTCTGTTACTGCAATGCAGTTCAGTATTACTCCTTAAATTACAAATATAGATGTATTTATATTCTATCAGCAAATTTCTAAGTTCTTAAATTGCATTGATCCTTCAGCGAGCCACCTCCAGCATTCATACTAAAATTAACCATAAAACCATATGTGTAATGTTGTAGCACATTTGAAAAAAAAAATTAGTTTCTGAAAAGCATAACATAAAAACACTTTGTAAGTTGCTACAGCAGGGTGGGTTTAAGGAAGTATCACAACAGGGTGTTTACAGTTAGAAGAAAGTACATTTGGAAGGAAAAAAGGCATTCCGATTTCAGCTAGCTTTCACCAGAAAACCCTCTCCTGGAGTACAACACAATTTATTATAAAGTCTTATGCAAGTGGCTCTTTCACCCTGAAGAGACACACAAAAAAAGGAGAGGAGAAACTGAAGATGAAGAAAAATAAATTCCGAAAAGCAAACAGCCAGAAGTTTGTTAGCAAAGGCTACTACAGTAGATCAGATTCATAAAGCTCAAAAATCACTTGAGGACTACAGTAATAAAGAAGTTTGTTACAAAGAGGCTAAATAAGACCTGCAAAGCATCTGAGAATTTATCACAGACAGAATGCCTGCTCTGATGGATGTAAAACAGTTATGCCAATACTCTCATATTTCTAGGCCCATCTCACTGTGCTTGCTACAGTTAGAAGTCAAGATGCACACACACCAGGAATGCAACCGCTCTCCTTCAGAAACTCTTTCTATTCAGTACTGGATCCTCTACTGAGGATCACTCTTCTGAATCAGGAACTGCAACCTGAAGTCTGGTTTTATCTCAACACTGAGCAAAATTAACCCTTCATCATCTAAGAAACACTGAGCACAGAAAAATAAAATACTTTTTAAACTTTTGCTAGCAAGTATTTGTTAGATTCCCTTAAATCTACATTCCAGATGAATATGTAGATATGAACCATACTTCCAAGTAGAAAGCAAACAAACTCCTAGGGAAGTCGATGAAACATATGAGATAAAGTTCTCTCCCTGTAAAATGCAAATTCTCTGAAGCATCATAACATATACAACTGGACCATAAACACAGAAATTGCAAGTCTACTAGACAACAGCAAACAAAAGGTAGACTAGACAATTCCCAAAGGTAAATGTTACAAGATGTTCATTAACTCCCTGCAAAGTGCCAGGTGTTCTAAATAAAATTTCTCCCTCTAAAGGAAATCAATTTTACAGATAAATATCTATCCATTCCTTATAGTTTCTGAATAAATTATCCAGGCCTGAAACTCATTATTAACACAACAAAACCACCACTTAGTTTCCCTAATTCAAAAATACAAGTATATACTACAAGATTAACAGAAGAAGTAAAATTGTAATTACATTTTCTGCTATATTAAGCCTGTATTTTGTACATTAGTGTTACCAATGCTTTATCTAACAATATCTGTACAACTAATACTAATCTCATGCAAAGCAGCAACTGCTGCTACTTATTAAGTACTAAATTTGCAAGATTTCCTTAAGTTTGATTTTAAAATGTTTTGTTCATTTGCCAGTGCCAAAATCATGCTGCTTCTAGCCACGTTTAACTGTGTACTAATATATGCATGTCTAAATGAATCAGACAAATTAATCTCAAAGTTACTCTTAGACGATACTATAGAGATTGCCCTTACTTTTTAATCATGTCTTTTACTTATTTTAAACTAGCCATTCCACATGTTAAAATAAGCATATTTCAAGTTGCTCTTCCACACCCAACTGTCAATGAAGCACAGTTTAAAGGGGAGGGTGAGGTCTGACACCTAGAAGGTGTTTTGTTACAATCTTACTGATATTTTACACTGCCGATCACATCACTTAAATCAAACCAGTGTAACATCTATATCTCAAGGCTACCATGACACTTACTGTTCTAAATGTGTTAGGGGTACTTAGATGAAATGTGCTATCTAGACAGATAGCCGACTCAGCGGTCAGACTCGGAGAATCACAGAGAAGTACAGGTCAGATAGGACCTCTGATAATCAGCTGGTCTAGCCTTTCTTCCATTTCTTACTGTTCTTGCCTTTTAAAATCTGAGATACTTTACAATAGAGACTTACAATTTATATGTTAGGAATTTTACATGAATAAAGAGCAATCTTTCCTCACAGAAAGAATACTTGCTCTGCAGCAGAACAGTGCCAGGAAGGCACACGTGCTGCAAAGGCCCAGAAGACTGACTGAAATGGATAGACAGAACAATTGCAGAAATCTAATAAAAACAAAAAGTGATTAATCTTAAACTTATGAATCTACCAGTAGTGGTATATATTTGAGCAGAGCACTACTGAACGGTAGATCTTTAAAAATAAATTGCTCCTCATTCTATAAAGAGATCAGAAAGAGAGAACGGTCACTGGTAAGCAAGACAGGTTACCATAAACAAAGTAAGTTATCCCTGGAGCATACAAATGTTATATTAAATACATATGCCAGCCTGAGCTTTTGAAGATTATTGTGTTGCCTAAAAAAGAGCTTTTACAGTTGTGCAATTTGAAGTAGAATAAAAATGAACTTTTAACTCAGTTGAATGTGACTGTTACAAAATACAAAACCTCTCATCTGGAATCTGTAGAAGACTCCAATGTAAACTTTAGCAGCAGCAGAAAGCAAGCTTTCCAAAATTTTTATTCCCTCATGGGAAAGGCTATGTAATTAGTTAGGCTTTATGGAGTATTACTTGACTTGCATTAGAATTGTAAGTGTGAACAAAATCTGGGCCTTTTAAAAATGTCCACTCCAAAAAGGATATTTTGCTACAAACATGACGGTGAAACCTGCTCTCTAGTACTTCTTGTTCCTCAGCCATACTGCAAAGGCAATAATCTTAGCTGCCTGGTGGTTAACAATCCTGGGGGAAAAATAAACAAACAAAAAAAATCATGAAGGGCAAGAAGAGACAATACACAGTAATATGTAAAAAAAGGCAAAAGAAAGAAAAGACACTTAGGACAACAAAAGACAAAATTTTAAAAAAGGCAACATACAAAGACCATGCACACAAGCTGAAGAAAAAGTCAAATGGATAAGTAAAAATAGATTCAAGGTAAGGACAGAAGAGAGCTGAAGACTTTACATGCTAACGAGAAAAGCTGATCCAAAAAGAAAAAAAATCTGGTAATAAGACATTAAACCTGATGATGTAAAAACAAAAGAGAGAATAACCAGAGACAAAAGTAAGAGCAGTAATCAACCAAAGTCTTCAGTTAATTGTAAGGTGATGCCAAAAAAAAAAAAAAGCAATCTGTATTTCTAATTACTCCTTTTAGCCAAAAACATTATGAAGATGAAGGTAATCAAGTTTTTGGTTCCAAGAAACCAATCAAGATAAAAACCAAAAGGGCATTATTAATATAAATCAGCAAAAGGAAGAAAAAAAATAATTCTCTTGGTTCAGTGTTTCTGAACAAGAAAATATACTTTCAAAGATCTTGCTTACTTTTATGTCACTTTCCCATACTAAACTCACTTTTCAACGTAGTAACTTGAGGAGCCAGTTCCTAATAACATTCCTGATTCCACAGTCACTGTGTAGGTGGGAACTGTCCTAATGGCAGCAGTAACACAGCACAAAATACCAGGACTCTAAAGGTACCAGGTGTCAAATTCTAGTGCCAATACCCCGGCTGTGGTAGCCTGTACTGTAATCTACCGTCAATTTTGACACTATCATTCCCACCTTCTTGTCTTGCCCAACAGTCATTTACCTTCAATAAATAACCCTCTAAAAGTAGGTAGTGGACTTCCCCAGTATGAGATGCTGCACGTCTGGCAGCTGGCAACTTCCTTCTCTCTCAGTTTTGATGTTCTTGTGGAACAGCTTTGGACTGCACGTGTTTAATCAAGAACATAACCTTTCTTCACACAGGACAGACAAATGTTTCTGCAGTACATCTACCATGAGTTGTACACATTTTAGACACCCCAATATTTGAAATCTCTTCATAAGTTGTATGCTTGGAAGTCCTCATCATGGAAGATAATAAAAATTACCTTATTTTAGATGCCTTGCTTAACAGAAGACACAAATTTGGAACTTAGGAAGACTAAGAAATATGGGTACTCTTCATTTTATGCCTCTTTTCCATAAGCAACAAAAAGAAGCTGCATGAAGGCTTCAATCCCTCCTTTATGCCCTTAAGCAGGTACAAAAGTAAACAAGGGACATTTGTATCTGATTTTTTATAAAAATAAGTTTGACCTCACACCTACCTGCAGGAGCATACATGCATACACAGGCTCAAAGAATGACCACACATCACCTCATAAAACACCTTGAAACATACTACAATACGTATAAAACATACTGCAATCTGTCTAACGCTGGTGTCCCTAGAGCTTCTGTGCTCAAGTACCCTTTGGCTTTTTATAGCTGAGCACTAGTGTTCAAAGGCTTCTTACTAGAAGCACACTCTAATACAAATGACAGCCTCCTTATCCTTCCAGCTGTAACAGCACACCTTGGCTTAATGCAGTCAGACTTCTCCCCAGTTATAGCGGAAACAACATAAAACTTCTCAAGTAGTAAAGAAGGTCCTTCACTTAGCACAGTCCTTGTTTCTTTTATGTGCCTTTTCTATGTCACTTCCACTTACTAAGTTTGCATAGTAGAACACACAGTAATGCAGGTATGCAGTCAAACTACATTCAGCTTGTAAGAATTCCTGAATCTGTAACTCGGATTAGCCAGACCTTCCCTTTGACTGGATAAAGCATAAAAGCAATATAAGACTCCAGGGAACTCATCCTATTGATGATCATATTCCAGGTCCAACAGGCTGGACCCACCTCCTGCCCTTTTGTATTTCCATTCATAAAAGACCTTCAAGTGGAACCTGTACTCCCTCTCATGGTGATTTCTTTCACCACAACTCACTCCTATTTAGGAACCTCCAATGGTTTCAAATCCTGACCCAACAGGTTGCCATCCCCAGGCTGTTGGCATTCCAACAGCATTAACGATGTTACCAAAACTGAGGTCTTTCTAAGGGAAACGGTGAGTTATTGTCCTCAACATAACCCAAACACCAGATGGCCTCTTACGTTAACTTAAATTTCCTCAAGACCCACAAAACCAAATGAGCCTCTTCACTCAGCCATACAAAATTCAGACTGAAATTTTTTTATCATCCTTATTCAATATATATAAGAAATGGTTTAGAGAAGAGATTTTCTGCATAACTTTCATTAGCAGACTTGCCGGGCTTTGAAGTAGTTTGTCTGTTGGTTTTGCCCCTAAAACCCAGCAACATACATACATCTTTTTCTTCAGAATCTCAATTTGGAGTAAAAAAAATTATCAATAAAATCATCCAGCAACTCTTCATTTTCATCATATTCCTTAACACAGGCAAACATTAGCAGTGTTTCATTTACTAAGGAGTGAATGGATAAAAACAAACAAAAGAACCCCTCATTATTCTGTTTTCAAGCCTCCTGGACCTTTGTCCAATGCTTTTTTATTCAAATGCTTATGACAGATATAATTTACAATTTCTGTCTTCAGAAGCTGAAAAGAGACCAGTAATGAAGATCAGATTACATTCACAGTAAAATACACACTTACCCAAATTCCATTGTTCTTTTCCTGTAGAAAATGTGAAGTGCAGGTATTATCAGTGCACTAATATTTGTTAAGAACCTCTGGTGAAGGGATTATCATTATCTACCTTAGTAATATCAGACTTTCATTCTACATAGGAAATGAATAAAGGACAATAGTAACTTGTAATGCTCTCCACAATCACTGTGTCCAAAAAGGTAAACTCAAGTTATCTGTTAACAGTACTGCTACCAAGTAATCTACTAAACCTGAAACCATTCCTTTGACTTTCTAAAAGGACACAAAGAGGTCTGCCTTTGAAAAAAAAGTCTCTAAGACACATAAAAATAGCAGTAGAGTGACAAATGCCACGAATTTCTGTGGTACTGTGTAAATAAAATAAAGCATCCTACAGAAGATGTGCTCAGAGATAAGGGCTGATATTGCATCATCTTCCACAGCTGATTCTTGGAAAATGTGCTATGAAGTGTCTGCACCACATTTGGAAGTGGGCACAAAAACCAGTTTTTATTATTTTTCCACTGAAAAAATGCAAGTAAGAAAGGAAGAACAATTACTTGAAAAATCTGAAAAAGAGAGGAGATAAGCACCAGCAACAAAGGGTCCACCTTCTAGCTATTACAATCACTACACAGAGATAAGTTTGATTTGATCTCAGATGCCATGACTTACTGACACTGGCAGCTCCTTTATCTTTAAGATTACAGAAGAACCTTAAAAAGGAATTTCTTATTCATCAATACCTGAAATTCTAGAATGGCCTTCATGAACCGCTAACTCCAAAATTTGATACGCAGATGAAAGAGATCACACACTACACTACATAACTAACAGGTAAATGCTGAAGATGAAATGACCACTTTACAATATACTGTCAACTGCTCCACACACAGCTGTCTCAGATTTCAGTATAGAACTGTGTCTCAGAGAAAATTATTTTTCTTTGAGGACAGGAGAAGTGAATACTCTTCTGTGAAGAACAGTTAAAATCGAAAACCATAGCGTAAAACCATACTTTTTCCTTTAAGAACAATAACCTAGAACGTAACATGGCATCACAGCAATTTTCATTCAAGCAACAGGTGTGTATATACGTCCTCACCGAATGTATGAGTGTCATGTTCCTGATGACTTTCTCCCTGCAAGGCTGTCATTTTTTTATGAGCATCAACCCACCATGGTTTATACTTTAAAACATGCTGAATAGCTTCATCTTCAAAAAAATCAGCTCTATGAAAAAAAAGAAAGTTATATGCTATTTATTCCAGTTTATAGTGTACGTGGGTATATTTTAATGCATTTATAGATTATGCCTGACTTGGCTCCACGCTATTTTCTATCCATTAGAAAAATGTTGACTTAAAACCAGAAAATAATCATTAGTAAAACCATCAACAATATTCTCTTATCTTACAGGACCCCTTCCTTACTTTCTCCACCTTTCCTTAGCCACCCAGAAGCCTAGGAAATTGATGAGCTTGCAGCATGACATGAAAGTGAACAAACCCCATTTGTTCTGGATGTATCTAAAGGAAAACATTCCAAAGAGAAGACTTCTCAGAGAATGCCACTGGCAACAAACCTGATTTTACTGGGAAGCTCTCCCACTTTAAAACTCTGTATACGCTGGGGAGGAAGGGTATGCAGAAGGGATAAAGACAAAGTAGGGATAGGGACTGACTTTTAGGTAAACAAGTGCATGCTGTGGCAAGTAGAAAATGAGTTATACATGAATTCTGAAAGAGAGATTACCTCCATCTCAGCACAAAGCCACTGTGGTAGAAATCTCAATATAGTAATTCTGGGAGGATTTACACTAAAGGACTCAAGTTCTAAGCCTCCTCTTACCATTTTAGCCTTTTCTTCAAGACAAACAATAGTGAAAATACTGAGAACTGAAAAAAATGCAGGCAATTTCTTAATACCTTCTTAATCATCCTACAAAACCTGCCAGCCTACTGAACACCGAGTGTAATTTGTTTTACTCTCACACTGACGGATTTTTTGTTGCCTTCCTTCAGTGTCTTTATAAAGTAACTTAAAGATACCAGCCAGCGTACATTTTCCTCAAAGGCAACAGGAACACTTCTGTTTACCACTGTTTCTCCCAGAGCTGTCCTTCTCATCAGGGTACAAAGGATAACAATTTTTGTTGAAGAAAGGTTGGTATCATCAGTTCTGATCTATCTAAAACACAGCCATTAAACTAAATAGTTGTAGCTCAACTACCAGGCCAGAACACAGGGTCTAAGATGGAAACTTACTGTAATTTACATCATATCATACCTTCGGAACTACTTCAGTTCTAGTGAAACGTACTTCCAAGTGATGTTTCAAGAAACCTTTTCTAAATTTCTATGTGCTACAGAAAGACATGCAGCTACCTATGAAACACATGACTGGAGAAAAATTCCAAGTTTGCAAATACACCTTCTGAAACACGCAAAATGGGTTAAGCCTACCTCTCGCCAACAAAACACACCATACATACTAATTCTCACTAGTGGGGACTACACCTTTCTCCCACCAAATCAATCCTACAGGAATCACCGTATTAAAAGATGTCATGGCTTCAATTTAGTTTACTTCTCTGGCAGTTTCTGACCCTAACTTGACCTGAAATACTCCAACTTGAAAGGCATGAAGAATTATTTCCACCTTCCTTACATGGGATGAAGCACAAAGAAACACAAAGTTTTGGGTTGGGACTTTTCCTCGTTCTGTTGTAAAAACAGGTTTAATCTGACAAAGGCAAAAAAAAATGACAAAAACTTCATAACTTCAAAACTCAAATGTACTTCCTCGTAGACCAGGATGGTTCAGTAATCCTTGTTTCACAAGAGGAAAACAAAGTTCTGACATCTACAACCTGAAACACTGGCAGGGACTGCCTACTCAGCTTCTGAAGAGGTGAACCATGAAACAACGTACTGCAGCAGTTCACAGCAGCCCCTGCTTGAATACAGACTTAAGCAGTAACTAAACAGTAGAATAACCCCAAAACAGATAAAGAAAGGCTTTTGTGTCACACTTAAGAACACCCTCTAAGGCCTGCTGTGATGAGACCGAGAAACAAACAAATAAAAAATAAAGCTATTATTTCCAAAAGTGATGTTAAAAACAATTATTTATGAAAAGAAAAAGTGAATATTTCAACTAAAAAAGTCAATACTCACAGGTAATGATCAGGATCAAACTTGGCAGCCTCAGCTGCCAGGCGTTTTCTTCTACGTTCATCTACAGGAGTCTGGTCTGGATCCTTAATGTCAATAACGTCACTGAGTTCATCCTGCAAATGGAACAAAAATTATAGGACCAAGCCACAGCTATGATATGCAAGATTTATTTAGTAAGAGTTTAGGAAGGATTATCAGCATTACACTGAAATCCCTAGATGGTCTTCAACCTCCCTTTCAAACCTTACAAATTCATGCTCCATTGCACAAGATCAAAATTCCAAGGTCATTCAATTATTTACAGCTCCTTAGAATTCATGTTATTATGAAGTCTATTCGGGCCATTTTATCATTAAGGCAGGCAGGTAGGTTATTTTGCACTACGATAAAATTCGCGATGTTTAACAAAAGCACACAACCTCAACAAAGACAAGATGAAAATCAGATACTGTTCTTGCAACTTTTGAGATTACTCTCACACTCTGAATCAATGGGCAATTGCAGTGCCCTTTTAAGCATCACTAAGTAGTGGCAAATGTACTTCTTCACAAATTTCATGGTAATAAACCAGTGTATACATCTTAACAGAATGTAAACACTTGCTCCATAAATAGTAATCCTTCTGTTCCAAACCCTGGAAATACTACAGTTCACGTAATAATGAGTTACAGAGTTACATAATTAAGTTGCTTTAAATAGCTACAACTTAAATTGCTTAGAGTAAGAACAGTATAAAAAAAATATCTACTATTTTAATAAAACCTCCTTATACTATGAATATTATTATACTATCTAGCACACTTCAGGTTGTAGATTATCTTCAATCTGTTAAAGAATTAAAGAAACTGATGAACACACAAGAGCAAAGTAACCGCATTTTAAAGCTCCTATCCTACCAGTTAATCCAAAAACGCAAAATTCAGTGCATCAGCATAACCCTAGTAAATCCCACAATCCCACAGATACCAAGTGAACAGACACCTTAAAGAGTGCACACTTCAAGTTATTGTATTGTGAGAAAATCAAGTCTAAAATAAAAAGTACAAAGAGAAAGCTGAAAGCTACCATTAATTTCACAATTAAAAAAATCTTAATGCAACAGCCACAACAGAACCTATAGACTAGGCAGCTTCATTTTGTTTTCTTCTTTTAATTGAGCAATTTCTTTTTAATTTAAAAATAAACTGAAATTCATGGCATCTGAAATACACTGTACACTGATGTTAAATATGTTTGAAGTATTTAACATCCAGTACTAAGTGTTTAATCCTGTTCCAGCAGGAACAAGGATTTGCCTATACTACTACATGTAAAAGCAGAATATTCTCAGTCACAGAATGGGATAATGGAGAACAGTTACCTAATGATCCCCTCCTGACTACAGAGTGAACCAGGATGCCTACCCAACAAGAAAGTTACACAGAACTTTTATGATCAGAAAAGACAAAAATGCACCTACCTGCAGCCGCTGGAAGACCCCTGACCGCATATTCCCAAATCCATAACAGTACTGCAGTGGCAGAGTGGTTTCTGCACTTTCTTTGTAAGGGGTCTGCTCTATTTCCCAGTCAAATTCTTCATCCTCCTCCTCAGACAACTCAGCAGAGGCAGCTGTATATATTGAATGGTCAGAAACACAGAAATAAAATTATTACATAGAAATTAAATATGATTTAATAGAAAGGCAAACACTGACAACACCATAAGCCTTTCTCATTTTACTACATCTTTTAAGAAATCTTACATGACACTGGGTCATACAGGCAGATGCTTACATAAGTAATCCATAGGTCCTGCTCCAAACTATCCAACTTTCAAAAAGGAAGACCAGGAATACCAAAGTTTATAAGTATACTCACTCAAAGACTGAATTAATTGTTCCACTGATTTCAGTAAGATCAGAATTTGATGCTAAGAGAACCCTGACAGGAGCAAAATGGTGTTATCAATAATTTAAGACTGATATTAAAAAATTAAACATAGATAGTCAAACCCTCTTGTCTGTTAAATACTGATGTTAAGCAAGTCATTCACTAGAACCTGTAGTTCTAATTAGCTTCTACCATTTGAGCTAAACGTCCAGTTGTGTGAGCTTGCAGAAAGCAAAGACTCAAACGTGTGTGTATCATACAGCCACTAGAGGGGTACAAAGATCTACAGAGGCTTAGCATACATTAAGCACATTTTGGAAAAATGTAAACATAACTAAGCCTGTAAAGATGACATGGATATCACCAACACATTAATTTCTATACTTATCTATACTTCCAGATTCTTTCATACCCATCTCATACCTTGGGCTACACAATAATAGAAATACAGTATTTTTCCACATGTATTACTACGTAGATCTATAACTATTTCATTATGTACATGTATCACTAGTATAAATAAGATTTTTTTTGTCATACCCATCTCTTCTACCAAAGGTTTTGCAGATCTTGATTTCTTTGGTGCTAAAAGAGAAGTCAGCATGTCCAGTCCCTCAAAATATTGGCCAGGAATCTCCTTAGGTAACCGAATCGTAAAAGTTCCTTAAAGGAAAGTCAGAATATAGTTATTGCATTAAAATACCCAAGACAAACAAAAATGTGCATTTTACCTCTAATGAAAAAGGCTCACAGAAACAGGTACACATACAGGTAGTAATTTACTACGCATCAATCTCTGTGCGTGCTTTTAACCTCACTCCACAAGTTTCACAAAAACTAAAGACTTTAATGATGAAGCGTGAAAGAATATTTAACCAGTTGTGGTCTCTCCACTCATATTGTATTAACACAACCCAACAGAAGACAAGCTTTATTTTATTTTTAATCCTTCCACCAATCAAGCAATCAACAGAAGATCACAGGAAACTACACTCAGCAATCTGAGTATTGTCTGAAGTCAAGCATGTAATAAAAGCTTTGCAAGCAGGAAATTACAGGTTTTATTGGCACTTGTTTTTTTTTATTAATGCATTAATTCCAGAAGGTACATCTTTTACTCCAGAAATACCTTCTACCATAAGGTGTGGAAAAAGGCTAATGTCTTCTCTCTTAAGATGTAGCCAAGAGACTGTCTCAGGATTACCTCATTTCTACTCAGCACTACCTGACTTCTTTGTAGATTTACTGGACTAATGATCTTGGTCCAATGACATGTCTAGCACCTACAGGAATTGAAGAGCACTTGTACATAATTTTTTCAGTATTAAACAGTTCTTAGCACGTCCTTCGTGCTTGAGGATGGCCTAAGTAAATACAATAAATCCTGAGCAAGATTTTTTTACGCTACATAACACATGAGAAACTTCACATTTATTTACAGTATCATATACTTCACTGAAGTTCTATGCAACTCCAGTGCAGCAAAGTACAAATTATTAGAGAGCTAGCAGTATTTTTAATGACACAGAGTATTAACTAATACCTTTGTCTGTATCATAAGATGCTTTTTCTCTGCCATCTTCTACGATTCTTCCAGGAAGCATCAATCTGCAGGCAAAAAATCAGATGCCTTATTGAATGCCCGACTAATTCTGCAACTTAACATCCCAGCCTAAAAATTTAAGGCACATTCCAAAAGCAGTACAAAGGACTTAACCACATAACTTCTGTTGATACTAATGGAAGTCACACAGTTAAATCCCCATGTACTTCAAAAATGTTTTCTCCTAACTATTGGTACAAGAGATCAGCATCTGAGAGAGAAAACTTGTGACTCCTGGTTTCCCAGCTTGGATGAGTTCACAGCCACCAGAGAGGTGACACCCTAGGCACTATGTGCAACACTTGGAAGATTCTGCAATTTAAAAACCCTTACCTAACCCACAGTGACAGGATATGAGAACTCACCCAGAGCTTTTGTATTGCTTATTTGGAGTAACTAATTCACTGCATTCTAGCAGACCACTAAAATCCCTTGTGGTCTACTAATGTACACAGAGGAAGCAGGTCCAAGAATACCGGAAATAGAAAATAAGAAAGGTGAATAGTTCATCAGCTCTTACATGCCAACGGTTCTCTTAACTCTTTCATACAGAGATTGCCTCTTGTTCCATTCTTGTAGTGTAGTGGAGAACTTGTTATCTAGAGAAAAGATACGGCCTGGAACCTCACTTCCTACTGCCTCCACTCGCGTAAGTTTTTCCCCTTATAGTATCAGGTGTGCATCAAAAAACACTCTCCACCAAATATACTGTATCTAGCTCTCAACAGGGAAAAAACACACTTATTCTACAAAACTTACAAACATCCAGATAATTGTCTTGACAGTTTACAAATAAAATTCTTTGGTAAAGTAAATTTAGAAAAGTATTTCTTTAAACTCACTTTAACATTATTTAATGCCTAGAAACAAGGAGGCCAGATCCATAAAAACAATTATTTGCACAAAGTGGGCAGTCTGCAGTGGAAGAGCTACAGATGAGGAATGTTCTGAAGGGACTCAAGTGAAGTTCATTCTCTACTGACTTTTATTTATTTTATGAAGTTACAATTTTTAAAAAATCCTTCCACTACTAACCTGAGAAAATATGGCTTAGCATAAAATTTAAAATCTTCCCCTTCAAAATACACATCAAATTCTGACGCTCTGGCATAAGGTACTTTGATTATTATAGTAAGAAAATCCGGATCCTGGGTCAGCTCAAAAGCTGGAGTTATCATGATGAATGCAGCAGGAAAAGCAACCACTGGCTGTGTGGCCCTATCAAAACAGAAAAACAAGAAAAGATTACTGTTGTTTCCAATTTATGACAGCAAATGGTCTCTCTTCAAAATTCTTCAAGATGACCATTTCAGATTCTTGTAGAATTATCTTCCACATACTCATCACAACAACAAAAATAGGCGTTATCAAGCATTTGAAGATATCGTATCTCTGCACCTTAGGAAAGCACCCACAGCATAAAAAAGCACACTAACTTTGGTTCTAACTTGGTGGCTTTTTGTAACTTGTTTATAATTTCACACATAGTACATGTTAGATCGGTACAGTTCATTAGTGATGTTAGACAGTGATGTCACTGTTAGAAAATGATGAAAATCAGTAATACTTTCAAAAAATTAGAACTGTATTCTATAATCCATAAATGCATCAGCCAGAATACAAGCAATAGGTTCAGTATACCCCCAACAGATTATCTGAGCATACATACTAGGCATACTGCTCTTCATGTGAGATTTAATGCATAAGCCATTGGGACAGTACAGCACATGCATAGCACGTTAGATGCTCCTTTGCAGTGGGCTCATGACACAAGAGCTGCCTGAACAGTTTAAACACAAGCAGTTGACACACTCAGGATATCCAATGCGCAAATGCTTGCTATTTTGATCAGGTTGCAAGGTTTTCACAAACCTTGAAGAAGCATCCTAAAAACCTCAGATTCCTTCTGAAGATTCAGTCAAAGAAAACATAAATAATACAGTAGTTGTAACTGCATTAAATTATATACAGGATACCTGGGATGTTCACCAAGTGTTTTTAAAGACATTTTAGGGCAACATCCATCAGAACCATATATGTGCACGAGCATGCATATACGTTTAGCATGAGAAAATGAATTTACAGAGTATCATTCACCTGATACACAACTTGCCTGACACTTCAATAGCTTAGAAATGCAAGATAATTCCTCAAGTTTAACTCAGAACACAGTTTTAAGTCGGGGGAACCACACACTTTTGAAAATTAACTTTTTAAGACAAAAATATTTTTACCAAAAAATTGTAAACCAGAATTATTATCTGGAAAAGAGCTACTTTTCACTGACTTTCACAATTCTCTTTATTAAACATATCCCCATTCTTACAGCTTCATGGGCAAACGCAGAGCATTAAGCACTAACAGGGCTAAATGAACAGATTACTGATTTTTTTTAAACTGGTAATTCACAGGGGTAACCTATCTCATTTGACAGGTAGAAAAGAAATGGAACTCCCCATTTCCCCACATCACTAATGCCAGGGCAGCACCCTCACTCCTTCACCAGCACCCCACAGCCTGGCCCAGCTGTTCCCGCCCTCAGCCCCTCAGCGTTGCCGCTCTTTTGTCACCCCTGACACAAACTACCGACCCCCAGCTATCGGCGAGGGTCCCACACAAGCCCCAGGTGTTCAAAGGCCGCAGCCCACGAACCGCTGACCTCCACCCACGGCAACGCGAGACTCGATCCCCA